CAATTAATATTGTAGAACTGTACTTGCCTAACAGTGGTGTTAATTAAAATGTGCATCATGGATCTGATAAACTTAATGAATTGGCATTGGGAAGGTACAGGAACAGATATATATATATATATACTGGGAGTGTACAGGAACAGATATATATATATATATATATATATATATATGTGTGTGTGTGTGTGTGTGTGTGTGTGTATACTCCAAAATAACAGTTCTCAGAGAATAGTGTTCAATCTCAATGTAAGCATATCAAAATTAATTTCAACTGCATCAAGAAGTTGACATGAGGATCATTTCAGGATTTGTGTGTGTGTGTGTTTAATTGGTTTGAATGGAATGGCAGAAATAATTCCAGATCTCCATAATGATCACAAGACCAACCATTAAGAATGATACATCCAACTTAGTGACCGACATCAAGTTTTCCAGTAATTGACACCACTGTGACCAGGATGTCAACTCTCCCAGGAGAGACTGTGATAGAAAAAAAAAAGGGCACTTAAAAAATCTTCAAGTGCAGATGGCATAATGGATACCTCATTGGACTCCCACATATATATATATATATATATATGTGTGTGTGTGTGTGTGTGTGTGTGTGTGTGTTATAGAACAATAGAAATGCCATGCTGCAGCCTTAGGAACGTCCGTACACACCGACCCCAGCACTTCTCCTGATTTCCCAACTCTAATTCACCTTGAGTTACAAATGAATAATGGAAAGCCGCATAATTTCTTTTATTATGAAGAAAGAGAACAAAGGAGGTTTTATCTTATCAGCACTCTGTGCTCCCTAAATGTGCTCTGGCTCAGGAGTGGGTGGTGTGTGGTGATTAGAGTCATGTCCCAGATCGCCTCAAACTCTCAGCACAGCCTCTACTTCACCTCTGGGCTCCTCTCCCAGCTCTTTTGAAGGCTTCTCTTTTTCTTTCTCTGGCATCTTGTTAGTCTTTCTCTGGCATCTTGTTAGTCTGAACTCATGTAAGCTATTTAATGAGCAAGGCAGCACTATCCAATTTTTAGAAATTGGGTAATAGAGGTTTATAAGAAAACAAGCCATGGTTATGAAAGGTGGCATGAATGCTAAGTTCTACACTGCTGCCTTTGAGTTGGCTTTTATTAAAAACTGATTATAATTCTTCTGGGATCAGGATTGCTAAAAATATTAAGAATTGCCTTGGTAATTCTATGCTTTCATTATGCTCATTTCCCCTAGTTATTTGTTTCCAGCCAGAAAGCCTGATGTATCTTAAGATACATTGCTTTTGCCATAAACCCTGGAAACTCAAGACACTCAGAACATGGTTTTTATATTCAAGGGGCAAAGAAAGAATTTCTTTTAATCAGCCAGGCTTACTTTGTCAGTAATTAGGTCAGCTGGGACAAACCTGCATTTTTGGCACGTTTTTAGTAGAGACAAAATGATGAGAATTATTGTATGCCATAATTACACAGTTAGGTATCGTACTCTCAAAAAAACAAAAACAAAAACAAAACAAAACAAAACCCCACCAATTAAGAAAAAGCAATGTAGGTCAACCTTGTAGCACAGTGGTTAAACCCTGTACATAGGGAGCTGGATCTCACATAGCCAACCGCGGTTGAATCTTGGCTGTAGTGACCTGAGAAACACACTGGGTATGTGTCCATGCTTGCTCCAAGTCATGACGGGATGGAGAAACAGAGGAAAGGTAGCATGCTCACATCCTATCGAGGGGGAATGTTTTCTCTCTCTCTGTCTCTCTGTCTGTCTCTCTCTCTGTCTCTGGTGAACACACGTGCCCTCTGGCAATTAAAAAAAAATAACAGTAAAGTACCAGCAGGAAATGCAATGATGGCTCAACTGAACCAACATGGGAAAGGTCCTGGGTTCACGTCCTGGCACCTCTCTGAGCACGCTGGCATGCTGGGCAACCGTCTGCCTGAGATCTGGGTTAAGTGAGACTCGGGGTGGGGACTCTACTGCAGGTGTGTGTTTCTCTCTCATGAAAAACATGAATAGATTCTTAAAAAAATATATATATATAAATTAAAGCTCAAAATTTAATTTAGCCTTATGAAACATATTAAGATTACCAGAATATCTATAATTAGACTGGCCCTCAGAAAGAAAATACATGCATATTTGTGTGTGTGTGTGTGTGTCCTTGACTAAAGACACTTTCTGGAAAGTTCTGTTATTTAAAAAAACGTATAATGTAACTGTATAGTGAGGTAAGGGAGGAAAAGAACAAGTAGTGGGACCAAAAAAAATCTTTAAATAAATCCCATTATCACTGTAATAACAAGTTTATAAACAGATTACATTAACATTCAGTTTTGTGGATGCTTAGTGCATTAACTCTAAATAAAGTCCAAACTCAGAAGGTGATAAACTATTTTAGCACTGGCTCAATTCAAACTTAATGATTATATTAGCTACTAGGTGGGAGGCATGGACTCTGTGTGTGTGTGTGTGTGTGTGTGTGTGTGTGTATACTCCAAAATAACAATTCTCAGAGAATAGTGTTCAATCTCAATGTAAGCATATCAAAATTAATTTCAACTGCATCAAGAAGTTGACATGAGGATCATTTCAGGATTTGTGTGTGTGTGTGTTTAATTGGTTTGAATGGAATGGCAGAAATAATTCCAGATCTCCATAATGATCACAAGACCAACCATTAAGAATGATACATCCAACTTAGTGACCGACATCAAGTTTTCCAGTAATTGACACCACTGTGACCAGGATGTCAACTCTCCCAGGAGAGACTGTGATAGAAAAAAAAAAGGGCACTTAAAAAAATCTTCAAGTGCAGATGGCATAATGGATACCTCATTGGACTCCCACATAGTGGACCATGGTTCAAGTCCTGGAATCAGCAGTTTAGAACTCCTGTAGGGCATGTGTGTGTGTGTGTGTGTGTGTGTGTGTGTGTGTGTTATAGAACAATAGAAATGCCATGCTTCCAGAACATCATGGATCTATGGACTCTGAGTGAATGAGTGAATGCGTGTTCAGTAAATGTGGCCTTCCTGCTTGCAAACCATAGGAGGCCTTTAGATGGATGTGCAATCTGATAAATGTATTTTTCCAGATTTCAAGGTGTTCTGTCCAGTCTCTGGCATCGTTTAGTCTTCCCCTCTAATCGATAGTGAAATCAACATGTTCTGGTAATACCCCTATTTTTCTGATTCTCTAAAAAAACAACTTTCTCTAAGAAATTAACTTTCCTTCCTCCTTTGCCCTGATAAATACAGAAGATGAGAGAGGTTTAGCAGGTGCAGAGCTGGTATGGCCTCTCTCGTTCCCTCTTGACAGAGATCTCTATGTTTTGAGTAGTTATTCTGTGTGCACCTCAGGTGACTCTGCCGGTCAGAAGAGTCACATGTGTGTGACCAAATTCCTGAGAGGAAGCTGGAGGAGAAGAGATTGTGGCATAGACACCCCTCAAGGGGTGATTTCTCATTTTCTGTCTCTCTGTCTTACTCTGTCATTCCAGGGAGCACACACACCTCATAGCGAAAACCTCTCTCGAAAAAGGTAAAAACCCTTCAAGTTAGTTACTCCAGTGTTCTGGAAGAAATAAAAAGTGTCTCAGAAGTCACTTTAAAAGATAATCCAAGATAAGATTCAATGCAACCAAGATTTTTGTACAAGGGTGTTTCTTAAGCATTGTTTATTATCATGAATAATTGGAAATAGTCAAATAGCCAAAAAGTAGATGACTGGTTAAATAGATTATGAAATATTTACATAGTTGAATACCCTGTAATCATAAAACAATGTTATTTTTTTGTTTTGTTTTGTTGTTTTTGGAGAGGTTTTTGCTATAGGACACGTATGCTCGCCAGACAGAGAGAGACAGAGAGACAGAAAGTGAGAAATCACCCCCCCCCACGGGGGATGGCCACACCACAATCCCTTCTCCTCCATCCTCCTCTCGGGATCTTGGGCACGCATGCACACGCACCCGGCGTGAGTTTTAAGTCACCGGGTCCAGGACGCGAACCACGGTCGACTACGTGGGAGTCCAGCAACATAGCCATTACGCTAACTGCTGGTCCCAAACAATGTTATTTTATGTTAAAGTAGTAATATTAAAGTTCATAAGAAAATGTTATAATATAGTAAATTAATTACTATATATAAAAAGAAGAAAATAGTTTATAAAATAATAGATTTCAAGAGTTAATTGTGCTGGGGCCAGCAGATGGTGTAATGGTTACGTTGCTGGATTCACACATAGTAAACTGTGGTTCATGTCCCAGACCTGGTGGCTTAAAACTCAGGCTAGATGCATGTAAGTGCATGCCCAAAATCCTGAGAAGAGACTAGAGGAGAAGGGATTGTGGCATGGCCATCTCCCTGGGTGTGAGTGTCTGTGTGTGTGTGTATGATTTCTTGCTTTCTCTCTGTCTTTCTCTATCTCTCCAGAGAGTACACATACCCTATAGCAAAAATCCCTCTACAAAAAAGAAAAAGAGTTAATAGTGTCTATATCTCTGGGGCAGTGCCAAAAAAAAAGAAAAAAAACACAAAAAACGAAGTTTCTCTCTGTCTGACCTTTTCTATATTTTGTTTGTAATCAAAGTAAAGAGTAACAAATGTCATAAAAATACATTTCATTTGCAAATCATCCAAGAGATGGTGCATTTTTTAATTCCTTATTTTTTTTTACCAGATCTATCAAATTACTGGACTTTTCAGAGATGCATCTACTTCTTATATTTCTCCTTAATTAAAAAAATTTTTATGTTTAGAAACTCTCTTCTTTTACCTATGCAATACTTTGGGAAAATTAAATTTGTGTCAAAGTCCTCAGAAACGACCTTCATTTTGTTTTTGTGAAGTCTCTTTAAAAGTTGTTCGATGGAATAGGCTGTTAAATTCACCAGGAGGCCAGCAAGCTACAGTAAAATAGCTATAGGTCTTTATTTGTTCTAAAACCTCCACAGACACATTCCATCCTCAAAGCAACACACTAATTCCAAAATCTGAAAAGAAGACACAGTTGCTAAGCTGGAGTGCTCGGCACAGACGGAACAACCCCATCAAAGAAGGAGAATCGGAGAATCGAGGCTTCCGGTGAGACTGTGGGCTGGGGGAAAGTCAGGCCCAGTCAACATAGTCTTGTCGGCAAAGAGCCCTATCCACGGCAGTTTCACAGCACAAGCGGGAATGGCTCTCATAGATGGGAAATTCCATTAAAACCTCTTCCCCAAGAATGGCAGGAAACAGAGTCATTGTACTGCCTGCTTCTGATTTGACACACGTGTGTTGAGGGAAATCACATTTTAGAAAGTATAGTCTCAGTGACCTTGTCTCAACATCTCATCTCTCTCTCTCTCACACACACACACACACACACACACACACACGCACATATACTAGGGATGCGTGGATCATTATGGCAATAGCTGGAATTCTCAGTGTTTCCTCCTGTCCTACCTCTCTGGCTTTAACCAGAAGCTCTTCCTTTTTCTCAGGCACTCGTATTTCTCATCTGCACCCAACCCCCTGCACAAATTCAGTCCTGATGGTTAGATTGCATGCATAGGGAAGAAGCTCTAGGGCACAGATGTGGCTGGCTACTCGAGGGTAATGAAAATGCAGTTGGTTTATGTCCATTGTGGATGAAGAGTTAAGTGAGGAAAAGGAAAGATGGGAGAAAGAGGTAATGACATGAGCAAGATCAGGGCATCAAAGCATGGCATAGACAGGGAAGAGAAAGAGGTAGGACGGGTCTAGGAATGGAGAACCACTGAAGAGGGTCAAGGGAGAAAGCACAGTTGGCCAAACCATGGCTCTTTCAGTGGAGGTTTGAGCATTACAAATAGTTCTTACTCTGTGTGTCTAGAAATATTTTAATTTTTCTCTGTCCCTTAACTGTGATTTAGGTGGATTTAACAGTGTAGGTTGAAAGTTGTGTTCCTTCAGCACTTCCAAGACTGCTTTTCCATTGTGTTTTGTAGCATTTAGTATTATTGGTGCTGAGAAGTCTAAGACTCTTCTCCTCCTTCCTCTTAATAATCTGTGTTTACTTTCTGGCATATTTAATATTAACTTTTTTCTTTATGTTCTACATCTCACTACCATGTTCCTAGGTGGGGATTTATTTTTATTTACTTTTGCTATCAAGAGTAAACGTTCAACCTGGAGATTTATGTCTTTTGCTCCAGAGAACTCTTAGCCATTACTTTTACATCAAACACCTTATGTTGCTTCTTTGTCATTCTTTTACTCTCTTTTTCAAAGATGCAAATTATAAGCATGTAACCACTCTTTTGTATATTTGAAGTCTTTGTCTTTCAGGGTTGAATTTGGGGTGAATTCCTCCCTCTGATCATCTCAGTCGCCAGTATTTCCTTTGCTGAGTCTACAGTTCATTCTACATATGAAGCATTTTTAAATATTAAATATATTTTAAATGACTCCATTTCCATTTCCAAGAGTTCTATTTGTTTATTTGGCACATTCATTTGCTCTTGATTCTTTTCATCTTTGAGTTTTTTTGTTTCACACTGTTCATTAAAATCAATTTCCTTCTGGACTAAATTCATTTTTTATTGACTGTAACTTTTTAAAGATTAGACTTCTTTTGTTGACTGTAGTTTTGAGGATTATATTTCATGAATTTCAGAATATTGATCTGCAAGTTTACTTTGAATTAAAGTATTCTCTTGGTGGTAGTGCTTGTTTTTAGTCTGCTTTTTTCTCTCTTCTCACTCTGTATCCATTTCTCCAAATCCAGAGGTTTTGTGATTGTCTTTTTTACCTGGCCTCCTGGAATCCCATTTCAGAACCAGGTGCTATAAGGTCAGCGCAGGGCTGGGCTTTGGCCACATCACAGTTATCTCAGGTTCAGTCACTAAACCGACGTGTGTCTTGGATCTTCTCCTGGTTTCAAGGCAGTGTCTGTGTCCTCTTACCTCCCAGGGGCCCAGAGTCCCCTATGTCATAGTGCAGCTTCACCTGTGTGAGAGCATTGGTACAAATTCAGGTAGGACAGACCCCAGACACGAGCCACCCCTGCTGGATTCTGGGCCTGGGGACCAGCAGGCCTGTGGCTGCAGCCCACCCACCCTTTCATGTTCACTTCCTTTCTTCATTCATGAACATGGTAATCTATGTTTTTTCATGACCTCTGCAATGTCATTTTTGTTTGTTGTTCATCCATTTTTAAAACAGTTCAACTTCATTTTATAATTTACCCATCCTTGCCATGTGTTTAGGAAAGGTAACAATGCCTAAATCTGAACTTCCTGCTAAATTTTACTTGAAATCCAGTAGCTGTTTTTAAAAAATTGATCTTGATAGGGTCAGCAGATGGAATAATGATGGCATCACTGGACTCCCACATAGTCGACCACGATTCAGGTCCTGGACCCAGTGGCTTAAAACTCATGCTGGGCATGTGTGCATACATGCCCAAAATCCAGAGAGGGGAATGGAGGAGAAGGGATTGCAGTGTGACCATCCCCCCAGGAGATGATTTCTTGCTTTTCTGTCTCTCTGGCAAGCACATGCGCCCTTAGCAAAAATCTCTTTGAAAATTTTTTAAATGACCTTGCTTTGTTTTCAGTTTACTTTTGATAGAAAAATTAACATTAATTTGTACATAGGCCATAAATTGTCATGCTTAAGGACTAAATAAGATTTTTGTGTTTAGCAAAGTTTGAATGACTCGCCATGTGTAAAAATAATAGATAATGATTTTCCCTGTCAAGGATCAAACTATTCTCACTAGAGCAAGAGCCCTGTGTCTGAAGTGATTTGCAAACTGTATAGTTCCTCAAGACCTAAAATCCAGACAAAGGGAAGCATATTTTCTCAAGATTAAAAAACAAACAAATAAACAATCAAAAAACACATGTAACAAAGGATTTTAGAGCTCAAAGGGACTCAAAGATCATATATTATAGGCTTCTCATTTCTGGATCTGGAAGGAGAGACAGAGGAATTAAAGGCTTTGCTCAAGATTATGCAGTAAATGGGTGCCAAAGCTACAGGTTGCATGACTGGGTTCTCTTAGCTTTGTATTTCAGTTTGTATTTTTCTCAACACAGTTGTCCATAGCATGTATAAGAAATCATAAAACTAGGAGACTAGATAACTGCGTTCTACTGTGATGTTTAATTACCTACAAAGCACAGGCATTTCACAGAAAAGATCCCATCCAGATATCTTAAGGTCTCAATTTCAATGTATTGTGTATTTTAAAAATGCAAACATGTGCATAGCAGCATTTCTTGCTCCAGATAGAAAGCTGAATTAGCTAGGATATTTCTTATTCTGTCACGCACCCCAGTCTTATTACGTATCTAATTTAGATAAATATAAGAGAATAAAAAATAAAAGTAGATACAAAAATAGAAATGCTGCGTATTTCAGGGTCCATGGTTGCTAGCATCAGAAACTGACTCTGGCTGATTAGGCAGACAAGTAATTCATTATCAGGATGTTGTGTATCTTACAAAATCGCTGAGAAGGCTAATGAAATAGACCTAAAGGTCAGCTTTCTGACGCAACCCCACTTTTCAGAACTAGCCTGCTGAGGACAGCCACTGCAGCCAGCACTGAGCACTAGATGCAATCGTGAGGTAGATGCTGACAGGAACTTGACTTTACGGAAGCTACAACCAGCACTAGCAGACCCACTATTTCTGCTGTGCATGAGACCCTCAGTCACGGGAGCTCAACTTAAAACCTCTGCTGACTCTAAGAGCCAATAACCTCTCTCACCACCTTTGGCAGCAAAATGGATTCTGTGCAAAGCTTCCTTTTCTAAGTAAGCCTCTGCTGAACTTGTATGTATCCAATCAGAGGACACTGGTTTATACGCTAATAAGCTAGTTGAAAATAAGGGACTACGGTAGCAGGTTTTCTGTCTTCTATCTTGCCCTTAATGTAGAAGGTTTCCCAAGTATACCAACACTGCTCAATAGCTAGCAAGTTTACCAATGTTTATTATATCTAATAAATTAAAACTGCCAAACAAATGAAGGAATTGGGCTGCCCATGGAATTGCATGTGGGGTAAGATACCCATTGTGCTAGATATTTTCCATTTAAACCCACTCTCCCCACCTCTTCAATCTTCACAGTGCCTAGGAGGCTGGTCTACATGGACTGGGTCAACCATCTTCCTTGCCCTCTGACTCCAGTTGGGTTTGACCAGCAGGAGGGGCTGGCAGGAATTGGGAGGGTAGCAGAAGGGTGAAGTCCCCTAGTTTCCCAATGGCTGTGTAGCAGGTCGTTTCTCTCCAGATGGCCTCTTTTGGGGGACCCTCTTCTACAGCTAAAGTTCTGGCTGTCATCCTACCCCCCTCCCCCCATCAAGTTTAGTGGTTCCCACTAGGGAAGCCTCGGACACTTACCCAATCCCTGTGCTTTCCCTTACCCCAATCATACCATGAAAATAGTTTCTTTTAAACTGCTCTCGACTGCCTCATTGGCATGCACCATCAGTTCCTTACAGGATCCTAATACTTCCATCTCCTCTATGACAGATCACATCTTATTTTCTTGACTCGCCAGAGTGCTGGAATATATTTCCTGTTGCTTTCTTCTCAAACACAAATCACAGATGAACTGAAATAAGTAAAGACAATGTTTTTTTTTTTCTTTTTCTTTTTAAAGTTGATTTCTTTCTTCTATAAGTAAGAGAAGGAAAGAGAGAGAAAGAGACAGCACTCCTGATAGGGTCTTGAGACTGAGATCCGCCCTTGACCTGAGCCAACCCTCAATCACACGCACACATTGGCCAGCACACTCGGGGAAGTCTCTAGACATGAACCTGCAACCTTACCATGAGGGTCTGCCTTGCAGAGCATCTTGTTTTATTGCTGCACCACTATCTTGTCATGAGACAATATTTAAATATGACAGTAGAAGAAACCTGTCATTATGGTTTTGAAATGTATTTCATATAACCCCAGTTACATTCCTTTTAGTTCTGGCCATGCATCACTAAAAGCTCTAAACATTTATGAATTCGGGGCTCCATTTCACACCATGAGAGACTAGGGCAAATATATTTTTAAAAAAATGCTTTCATTGGTTCTGAGGCAAACCACAGACAGATATTACAGCCAAAGAATTCACAGACCCAATGTTAGGTGACAGATAATGCTCCCACCTTACCACGCATGCCAGTGGACATACTGTCTCCTCAATGCCACAACTCTGAGAGGGCTAAAATGAGTGCCCTGAGTGGATTTTTTTAACCAACAGGAGGATTGTATGTGTCTGAATTCCCATAAAACTCTGTAAAGAGCTTCCTTGCTTCAATAGCTGTTTCTCCCAGTTGCTTCTGATTGATGGATAAGTTCCTCTCACATTCTAACAGATGTCTCAGCCATTCTGCTGCCTGTAAAATAAAATACTCCACACATAAAACTTTTACTAATATAACACACTAATAAATCAATTGAAATTTCTACCACACTCTACTCTTAAAAGGAGCCACAGGGGAACAAAAAGAAAGGAAGGAAGAAAAGAAAGAAAGAAAGAAAGAAAGAAAGAAAGAAAGAAAGAAAAAGGGAGAAAGAAAAGAAAACAAGGTCATAATGGAATAACAGAATTTTTTAAAAAAGAAACAAGCCCCACCAGCAGTATAGGTTCAATCCATACCCCCAGCACCCACTCTCGGAATCATGTGGGCAATCACCCACCTGCAGAATGATGGGTGTGAGGACTGCATTACTTCTGTCTTAAAAACTGTTTTAGGGCTGGCGCTATGACTCACTGGATAAGTGCTATGCATTGGGAGCTGGATCCCACACAGCCAACCATGGTTCAAATCCTGGCTTTGGCAGCTTGAAATAACATGCTGGGCATATTTGAGTGTGTGCCCCAAATCCTGATGGGATGGAAAAATGGAGGAAACAAGAATTGCAGCATGACATGACAATGTCCCTTTGGGGGTGTTTTCCCTCTTGCTTCCTCCTTCTCTGGTCTGTGTGTGCACCTGCTAGCAAAAAAAAAAAAAAAAAAAAAAAGTTTTATTAATGCTCTATATTTACTAAGTGTCTGTCATTTGCTTAGCTTGCCTCCAAGTTTTCTGAGGAATGAAGAACTATGGTATGTGCTGCCTGTCCTCAAGCAGCTTGTACTATCATGGAATGGAAACAGTATTAAATGAAAGGACTGTAAGTATTTATTTAAAGTTTTAGCCACAGCGCACCTGTACTCATCGGAAAAAGACAGAGAGAGACTATAAGACAGGAATCCCTTCTCCAAATCTTCCTGGGATTTTGAGCATATACACACACATGCATCCGGCATGAGTTTCAAGCTGCCAGGACCGAGACTCAAACTGCGGTTGGCCATGTGGAAGTCCAGTGCCTTAACCACTATGCCATCTACTGACCCCAGATCTAATATACTTTAGATTATATTAGACACTAAGTTGTGTGGCATTCAGTGGAAAGAAGTCTGGTGTGCTCCTGTATGATAGATATTTCAGTGTTTCTAAGTAGTCAACCAGCGTGGGCCAGTGAATCGTGGTAGATGACTCTATGACAGCTATGACCACACCTCTTCTCTGGAATCTTCTGTTACTATGGTTTGGAATTGTATTCCATTTTTAGCGTCCACATTATAAATTGTTTCTAAAACTATTTTACAAAAATTATTCCAACACTTCATTTATTTTATCTTGAACTTGCACACTTTATTTTTGAACCTATATGTAAACCTTTATACTCCTCCCTATTCAATTACTCTGGTTGTTTGAGGTCCATTATTCCAATTTGTTAAAATAATTTGGACCTCGTTCTATCATTAAGTCTGTTAGTTTTCCTTCCCACTGTAGTTACCTGAAATGTCAGCTTGGATATTTTAATTATAGTTGGTGCACTGTGAAACTTGTGGAACACAGTAATCTCTATTATCTCATCTTATCATCAAAGTTTTAGGGCAGCAATTGCTCTCTTTCTTATTGGTGGGACTTCTGAAGCTCAGGGCAGTGACATGTTGCTAGCAAGTGCAGAGCCAGAACAGGACACACGTCTTTAGATTAGTGCCTTGGTGAGCTTTGCTTTCTTTCTTTAAAATATTACATATTTGAAAAGGGGTCTTTTCAGGTCAGCAGGTGGCATGGTGGTTAAGACACTGGATTTCACATGGCCAATTTTATAGCTCAAGTCCTAGGTCTGGCCAAAATCCTGAGGAGAATGGAGGAGAAGGGATTGTGACATGGCCGTCTCCCCCTGGAGGGTGATTTCTCACTTTCAGTCTCTATGTCTCTCTCTCTGTCTGGCGAGCACACACGCCCTATGGCAAGAAATCCAACAAAGGGGGAGGGGTCTTTTCATTCATTCATTCATTCATCCATATTTTTGTATGCCAGAAGGCATGTGTGGGCAAGAAAGAGGAGACAGAGAAACAAATAACCCTCCAATGAGGCATAGTCACGCCACAACTCTACTTCCTCCAATTCTCCAGCCCGTCAAGATTCTGGACATGAGCACAGGCACCCATGTTGCCTCGGGGGTCAGGATTTGAACTCCAGTCATCTCTGTGGGATCTGACATCCTGTGCATAGTGCTTACGGACTGTACTACAGGACCTGCTCTTTCATTTTTAAGTTGATAGGTAATATGTTGAGTATGTTAGCATTGCATAAAACCAAATACTATAGATAAGTGAACATTCCCCTTGGCCCTTTGCCCAACCACGTATCCCTCTCCAAAGAGATTCATCTAGCTTAGTTTGGAATGTGTGCTTCAGGACTTTCTCCTATGCACTCCTTTACACCTGGAAATAGTTCATTCTGTGAGATATCATACTACACCTGTTTTTTTTGTTTGTTTGTTTTTTCCCCAAAACTAGCCCTTTTCACATCATAATATAGCTCAGACTTTTTTCTATGTCAGCATTTGGATGCACAATATTCTATTTGTATAACCTATTTAATTTCAGTTTCCTTATTCAAACATGTGGTAATGAATTCTTTTCATACATGATTCTTTGGACCAGTAATGGGGAATGTCTCTAGGCTGGATGTTTAGAAGTGAAATTGCTCGGGACCACCAGTTAGCGTAATGGCTATGTTGCTGGACTCCCATGTAATCGACCACGGTTCAAGTCCCAAACCCGGTGGCTTAAAACTCACGCCAGGCACGTGTGTGCACATGCCCAAGATCCCGAGCAGAGAATGGAGGAGAAGGGATTGCGGCATGGCCATCCCCCCTGGGGGGTGATTTCTCTCTTTCTGTCTCTGTCTCTCTCTCTCTGTCTGTCAAGCGCTCATGCCCTAAAGAAAAAAAAAAAGTGAAATTACTGCTTAAATGGTATGTGCATTTAAAATTCTATTAACAAATGCCAAAATTGTCCTCCCAAAAGACTATACCGATGTATATTCGACTATGAGGGCAGCATTTCTCACACTCTCAGTGAGTACTAATTGCTGTAGCTTTCACGAATCTGGATTGCTCCAACCCTCATTATCAATAACTTTGAGCATCTTATACTTCTATGAACTGCATGTTCTTTCCATAGTATTCTCTCTACTCTGCCGTATATCATCTTCACAGGTACTCTAAACAATGTTGAGCTAGTTATAGCTTTAGAGATTTCCCTCCATGGCGGACATAGAATCTACTAACAAACAACTGAACACAGTTTCTTGACCAGCATTTGGCCTCCCTACCCAGTCTGTAAACTGGGCAACATCTCTCCATCTTGGTCAAATAAATATCATGAGCATGTCTACAAAACACTGTGCTGAAAAAATGATTAGCTGTGGCTGGTATTCTTATAGCCCCTCTGTCTTTCAGCTCACTCAGGAAATAAAATGAAGACTGTTTAGCTTGTTTTATCGTTTAACTCACAAATGTTTACGTAGTATACATTCTAGAATGTTGAAGAATGTGACACTGAGCTAACTCTATATAGAGTCCATAATCCATTTTCTCTCCTTTTAGAAAATCTGTATTTTTGTCTTGCTTAGATTTCTGGCATCTGCCCTATTTTCCATTTCCCTGAGATGAGAGGCTGTGGTTCTGAGACCTGTGATCGATTCAGTCTGCAAAGCCTGTGTACTGGCTTCTCCCTGACTCTCCTCATTTAGGCTGGGCTCCAGTTTACCCTCTGTGATATCTGTCCTACTCTTCTCAGTGTGACCACCATGTTCCTGGCTGGGCAAGAAAGAAGCAATTGAGTGACTGCCTTTCCCCCGTTATCATTTACCGGGATCTTATTTAACCAGTCAGCTTATCCTTGCTTCAATCTTCTTGCTACAGACTATGCGCGTGTTTAAAGCCCTTTCTGTGGCCCTCCTCTGTTAGCAGTCCTCAGTTCATCTGGAGTTTTGCCTTCTGTCACTCTCTTAAAGCGTCTGTCACACCTTCTTATTCACCTCGGTTTGTGTCCTTTCCTTATTTTCTGCACGTCATTTCAAAATATAGACTCACCAGAGAACTCTGTATTGGGTCATATTGGCTCCTGCAGGTGATATTGCAGGACAAAGTTTAATTCTTTCAAGTTTTGTCATTTAAAAACTCTATTGCCTCTAACCTTGGGGTTACATTTCTATTACTGTGAACTTTTTGAAGTTTGTTTTTCCTAATGCCTCAATTACATATCTGCTGTGACCAGAGGCTCTTTTTTCCTATTACATAATCTAGGATAATATGATCCTTTTCTTTCATCTTCAAGAAAGCAAGGACTGAAGTTTATTTTACATGCCTATTGAAGTGAAGTTTTCTGTCATATAAATGTCACCAATAAGCCCTTCCTTGGTGGTCAGAACTGAGTAAAGAGTAGCAGTTCTCATTATCTCCTCTCGTACCTTCTCCTTTCCCTCCCTCCCTTCCAAATTAAACTTTTTTCCCCCATTTTATTGATTCCCGAAAGATCTTACACTAATAATATGGACAAAGCTAAAATCTTGTGACAAATGCACTGTAATTTTCTTCTGAAACATTTTTTTTCTTTCCCCATTCCCCCTTTTACCAAAGAGAGGTATAAACTAACTTATTTGAAAAAAAAATTAGATTAGTCTCAATTTGGTCTGTTATTTGCACAAAGCCACATAAGAATTCACTTTCTGATGCAAGGCAACACACACTATTGTATTATTGAATTTATGCAAATAACCATTCTGCCACAAAATAAGAATGCTCACAAATATTTTCCAATTGCAAAGGGATCAGGAAGGGAGAAAAGTTTATGTTTCAATTTTTTAAAAAATTAACTAATTGCCAAACCTATTAGCAACTCACAAGAAAACCCAAATCCTTAAATCTGAAAGATAAAGCATAGAATAAAATCAGTAATGTTTTAGAGAAAAGTCATAGAATTCTATTTCACCAGTTCAGTCTCATGTAATTTCTCTTTTGTTTAATTTGTAGTGTTACTGCGGTCTGATCTTTCTGTTTAAATCCTGAAAGTTAACATTCAACATTATTATTGATATTTCCAAACTTGTCCCCACCATTAAGTTGGCCTTTTTCTTGGTCATTTTTTATTCTTTTATTTCTGTCTGTCTGTAGTTTACCTGGTATTGCACTTCCTTTAGAACTTCTCGAAGAGTTGGTCTAGTGTTGGTAAATTCTTTCAGGGTTTGTTTATCTGATAATGTTTTGGGTTTTCCTTCCCATATGAAGGATAATAGTGCTGGATATAGTATTCTTGGTTGAAACTATTTTTCACTTCGCACTTTGAATATGTTTTCCCATTCTTTCCTTGCTTGCATTGTTTCTGATGAAAGGTCTGATGTTAGCCTGATGGGACAACCTTTATAAGTAACCTGATATTTCTCTCTTCCCAATTTTAGCATCTTCTCTGTCTTTGGCCAGTCTGGCTATGATGTGCCTTGGAGAAGATCTTCTTGGGTTGATTCTATTAGGGGTCTTTTTATTTCTTGAATCTGGATAGTTGAATGCCCTCTAGATTTGGAAAGTTTTCTTCCAGGATTTTATGGAATAGATTATCAATGCCCTTAATAGTTTCCTCACCTTCTGGGATACCGATTATCTGGATGTTTGGGTGCTTAATGGTGTCTAGTAGTTCTCATATGGTATTCTCATTTTTTCTGGTTATTTTCTGGGGTATTTTTGGTTGTTTTTTTCTAGGTCAGAGATTTTGCCTTCAACATCTGATATTCAATCTTCAGCATGGACTAAACTGCTTTTAATACTTTCAAGGGAGGTTTTGATTTCCTGTATTACAGCCTTCATCTCTAACAGTTCTGTTTGATTCTTTTTTATGGTGTGTATTTCCTCTTTCAGATCGTGCAAGAATTTCCTCACCTCCTGGAACTTGTCTCTTTTCTCCTGCACCTTCTGGAGTTCATTGTCTCTCTGCTCTTGCATGTCTATTAGCTTTGTCACTATGAATATTCTAAATTCTTTATCTGACATTTCCATGACTTCCATTGTACTGTCTGTGGATGATGAAGGGCTGTTCTTTTCTCTTAGTGGAGAGGTATTTTCTTGGTTTCCCATATTTCTTCACCTCTGCAGTGGTATCTGGTCATCTGAGGGCTTATATGTTTCTTCCTACTTTCTTAGAGTTAATTCTGAGTGTTAGAGGTGCGTGGAAGGAGATGACCCTCAATATCTCTGCAATTCCATTTCCCTGATCCTCACCAAGCAACCTGTACTTTTGTCTATGGAACTGGATGTTACAAAAACCTTCCAGTTTCTGAAGAACAGGCGTACCTGGACTAAGCTGCAGGGTTTCAACTGAGAATTCAGAGGTATGTGGGAAGAGAGGAGCCATGGTCTCTGCAGCTTCGTGTTTCTCCCTGCTGCTCACTTTGCAGTCTCTCTTCTCTGATCTTTAGTCATCTGGTGGTATATTCATGTTTGGCTAATTTGTTGGAGATTTCTGCAACGGTAACCTCATATGGCTTCACTTTACTGTGAGATACTTCTATGCCAATTTCTCCTCTACTACTGTGCTTTACAATGTTGTATCCACAGAAAGAGTTGGGGTCTATGGTTTTGGACCTGGTTGAAGACAGCTACCTGTTTCCATTTCCTAATTCTATCAGCACAAATAAGACGAATCAGACCATTAGGCAAAACAGGCTTGACTGAGAGGTGGCTCTTAGGCAGGTCAGGAGCCCAGCTTGTCATTGGTTAGGCATCCAGAGGACTAGCTGTCCATGAATGAACTGCAGTTTGGATGGGATTAAGATGTCATTCTCGGGAACCAACAGTTAGCGTAATGGCTATGTCGCTGGACTCCCACGTAGTCGACCACAGTTCGCGTCCCGGACCCGGTGGCTTAAAACTCACGCCGGGCGCGTGTGCGTGCGTGCCCAAGATCCTGAGAGGAGAATGGAGGAGAAGGGATTGCGGCGTGACCACCCCCTCTGGGGGGTGATTTCTCGCTTTCTGTCTCTCTGTCTCTCTCTGTCTTTCTGGCGAGCACACGCGCCCTATAGTGAAAATCTCTCCAAAAAAAAAAAAGATGTCATTCTCTGAGTATAGGGACTCTTGCAAGATCTCATTTGCCCTAAGGTCCAGGGGAAAGGGAGAAACTTAAATGCTTGGAGAATAAGTAATTTGTGTGAATTAGATTGTTTTGGTTACTAGTATTCTCTCTGTGTTTTCTCATTTGTTATTCCCTCAGTCTGTAACCCAGCCTTATAGGGATCATCTGGCCTCACGGAGGCTGTGCTATAGTTTTCCAAGATCTCTTGACTATGCTTTGAACAAAGCTTTTACAAATGAGGTTCTCGTATTAGATGGGCAGACACTAAAGCTGACTCTCTCTAGGACGTTCTTTTGGGTCAGTGTTGAGGATGGCACAATTCCCACTGGGGAATTCATCACTTCTTAGCATTTTCTCTTCTACAAGGGTGACTATATACTTTAAGTTTATTTATTTGTTTGTTTATTTATTTATTCAAACAGGAAGAGAAAAGGGAAGCACCCTCAACAAAGTCTTCATGCTGTGATCCACTGCCAGCCAGTGATTGAGAGCATCCACATGTGCCCAGATGTACTGGAGGGCTCAGGACAAAAACATGGGCCCTTTGGGACCAGCAGTTAGTGTAATGGCTATGTCTCTGGACTCTCATGTAGTCGACCATGGTTTGCGGCCCGGACCCGGTGGCTTAAAACTCACGCTGGGCACATGTGCATGTGTGCCCAACATCCCGAGAGGAGAATGGAGAAGGGATTGCGGCGTGGCCATCCCCCCTGGGGGGTGATTTCTTGCTTTCTGTCTCTCTGTCTCTCTCTGTCTGGTGAGCACATGCGCCCTATAGTAAAAACCTCTCCCCCCAAAAATTTAAAAATAAAATAAATAAATAAACAAATAAATAAAAAACATGGGCCCTTCCCAGACGGTTTAGCATCACAGAGTATCACATTACTACTGCATCACAGGCTGGCCCCAAAAGCTGACCATCTTGACTACACACAATAAATATTTACTTAAAAACTCAGGCAAAAATAGATATAGCACCCCCCCATCCTAGAATGCATTCCTCAGAGAATATGCTTTTTAGGTCTTAAATTCTCCCTTATAAAGAAATCGTATTACTAGTAGTGGCTAACATTCAAGTAGTAATTACAATCAAGAGACTATTCTGAGCATCTTTTTGTTGTTGTTGCTAGAGAGATATTTTTGCTATAGGGTGTGTGCACTTGCTGGAGAGACAGAGACAGAGAAAGAGAGAGAGAGACAGAAAGCGAGAAATCACCCCCCTTCCAAGGGATGATGGCCATACTGCAATCCCTTCTCCTTCATTCTCCTCTCAGGATTTTGGGCACTCATCCCAGCATGAGTTTCAAGCTGCCGGGTCTGGGGCTCCAACCAAGGTTGACTACGTGGGAGTCCAGAGACATAACCATCTGCTGGTCCTGAGCATCTTGTGATTACTCATTAACCCTTTGATTCTCACAACAATAAACTCTATGAGATAGGTGTTGCTATTTCTGCCTTTTTTTTTTTTTTAATTTTAGATACTGCAACGGAGGAATAAAGAGGTGCAGTGACTCTTTGAAGGTCATATAACCAGCCAGCAGTGAAACCCGAATGTACATAAAGTCTACCCAGGAACCCCTGTACTACACTGCCCATTAAGCCTCATCAAGCCTCCCTACAGTCTCTTAGGAAACAGGAAGATTCAAGATTAGGTGGCTACTTGTTAAAATTTAAACCAAAGAAGGGTTCTCTGGATCTCCCACTTGGTTCTCCTGTTGGAATCAATATTGTTGTAAGCTAGACCCTTGCGTAACTGCTGATTGTGGGACTTCTGAAAGGCTCTTTTAAATCTGAAGGTTGCTCTTCCCCTAAATTGTTACCCTCTCACTCTTCCTTTCCAAACAGCCTTGGCCTATTAGCAAACCAATTAACACCTGGAAGGGAGATCCTCCCCAGCAGCATTCTAAGTTAATTAATTTATCTCTTTATACCTATTTGCCAAGACTATTTAGTGAGCTTCTTGGTCTAGGGACCCGTGAGAAGCCTCTTAAATTTACTTCAATTTCTTCTAAATTGTTATCTTCTACCCTTAGGAGCAAGCAAAACAACAAATGCTTAGTAATAAATTAAGGTGCAATGTAGACTAATCCATTTTAAAAAGATTTTTTTACTGGGAGATTTTTCCAGTTAACCTTCCATCTTCTAGTACCCAGAAAATCAAATTAAAATAAATGTCCAATTCTCTGAACAAGCCGATTAATCCACATTTCAATGTAAAACAAGTTAGTATTTATGGCCATTAATCTGATTTTTCCCTGGAGAACCTAGTCATTTGATTCCATTGTAACTCTCACACTTCCATTGTGAATCCCTCCAATCTGTTTTTCCCTTGTCTGAGAATGCCCCTGAGTCTAAGAAAATGTTCATGGCGTTGGGCCATGGGATAAATATCACAGAACTACCTGGAAACGCACATCACTGTTCTCCTGACCTGCAGTGGGGTAATTCGACATCTGTGATGTTCTGGCTTGTGTTCTAGCCCAAGCTGGACAATACTGATTTGCCATAATATACAATGTATGTCTCCGGCTTTTAGAATTAACTGTGAACTCAATGTTATGTCCTTTCTCCATGTTTGTGGATGTGGTATTTATAAGATTCTTCAAAGTTTGTAGAATGATGTTCTAGGGTTTAGGGAAGTTAGGGCCACGTTTCTCAGATCTTGGTTTGTGCCCACCTTGCTTTGTGTCAATCACCTTAAGGACAATATTAAAAATGAAGATGCCTAGGCCCTGGGTGGGAGTGACGAATGAGAATATTCAGTCAGGACTGGGCATGTGAATTTTTAATTTTTAAGGATGTTGAAGTTCAAGCACCACAAATTAACCAAAGTAAACAGTGCACGTTAAAATCAGCTGAAGGTAGTTCCTCATAGATAGTTATAAGCTGATTCTATTGGGCTATTGGAAAAGTTATGATATATTTTTTCTGGTTTTCTATGTAAAATGCATCATGACTTTTCTGAAAAACATGCTGGGGGCATGCATGGATGCCCAGGACCCTAAGGTACTGAGGTACTGTGGTAAGGGGAGACCTTATTGAGGGCACTCTCTCTCTAGTTCTTTCCCTCTCACACATGTGCACACACTTTCAATCATTAAAAAAAAGGGAGAAAGTTTAAATCTTGCTTTGCACAGGTATTATTAAAAGAATGTAAGATAAACTATAGATTGGAAGAAAATATCTGCATATCACATATATGACAAAGGACTTTTATTCGAACAATATAGAGATATCATAACTCTTGAGAGGAAGGGAGTCAAGGGGGAAAAGAAAGAAGCAAAAGATGTTGAGAGGAAGGGAGTCAAGGGGGGAAAAGAAAGAATTAATGATTTAATGGGGAGAAAAATGGAAAATTATCTGTTGCTAATAACATGTAGGATAAAAACCTTTAACTGGATTAATATATAGTGCATTTATGCTGGGAAAACTCATTTTACAAGCTGTGATAATATACAGTGATTGAATGTATATATAAAAAGAAAAGAGAAGAGAAGAAATAAATAGAAAAATTCACCAATGCATGTGCCTGGATGCTTAAACTGCTGACAGGTTAAGGAAATGTAGAAAAGAGACTGTAGTGCAACCACACCACATTGATAAGTGCTTTCTCTCTCACTCTCTCTCTCTCTTCTCTCTTTCTCTGGAGAATGTGCACACCCTCTAACAATTGATTTGTCAATCAATCAGTAAAAAGAAGTGCTGAGAGGAAAAAAAATCTCTCAAAACTCAACAATAAGAATACAAGCAACTCAATTAAAAAATGGACAAAAGATTTGAACAGAAATATCTGTTCAAAGAAGATAATATATGAGTGGCAAATAAACATATGGAGAGATAGTCAACGTCATTATGAGGGAAATGCAAATGAGATAGCATTCCACATTGTATTTCTATTTTAAAGTCTAAAACAGAACAAAAAAAATCAAACAAACTGCCAGTTCCAAGAGCTGATGAAGATGATGTGGAACAACTGGGATTCATATATTGCTGATTAGAAAAACAAATCGTACAGGGCCGGCCTCATAGCTCAGTGGTTAAGGGAGCCATATACCAGGTGGTCAACAACAGTTCAAGTCCTTGCCCTAGAGACTTGAAAAAACATATCAGGCACATGTGTATGTGTGCCCAAAATCCTGATGGGAAGGAGGAATGGAGGAAAAATGTATGACCATGCTTCAATTGAGGTGTGTGTGTGTGTGCTTTTTATAAATTTTATTTTTATTATTTTTTAAAACTTTGTTTACTTACTTATTCATTGATTTGACCAGAGAGGGACAGACAGAGAAAGAGAGCAGGAAAGTGAGAAAGCTGCCAGGTCCAGGACTCAAACCGTGGTTGGCCATGTGGGAGTCCAGCATCCTTAACTACCATGCCACCTGCCAGCCCCTAAATTTTATTTTTTTTAAAAATTTATTTTATACATTCAATCACATTATTTCACTTAGCTTATAAAGTGAATTTACCCAACATGAATGCACCTCATACCGGTTCAGTTGAGGATACTATACATTCTATCAACAACAGAAAACAACCCACTTCTATGTCCCATAAATGCCTTGCCTCTCTATTTTTCTCCTTAATTCTTTTCCTCACAATCTCCTCCTTCTCCCTCCCTCTTCCTCTTCCCACACTGTCTCCAGTATCCATAACCATTTTTCATGCTTCTATATCCTCTCATCTTTCAGTTTCCACCATAGAGTGCAGACAGTTGGTATATATTAAGTGGAGACATACCATGTCCCTCTTTCATAGCCTGGCTTGCTTTATTCAGCAGTAAATCTTCCATATCCATCCACTTTCTATCAAATGCGAGGATCTTGTGTTTTTTGTTTTTGTTTTTCTTTTTTTTTATGGCTGAGCAGTATTCCATAGAGTTTATGTGCCACACTTTCTCAATCCATTCATCTGTTCATGGACATTCAGGTTGGTTCCACATCTTAGCAATTGTGAATAATGCCACAATAAATATAGATGTGCAAGCATTTTTCCAACTGAGCATTCTTGTGTCCTTTCTGTAGGTACCCAGGAGTAGAATTGCTGCATCATATGCTAGTTCTATTTGCGGATCTTTAAAGAACCTTCATATTTTTCTCCACAGTGGCTGGACCAATTTACATTCCCACCAACAATGGAGAGGTTCTTCTTTCACCACAGCCCCGTCAGCACTTATCATTTTTTTTTTTTAAGTTTTCACCATTCCAGCTGGAATTAGGTGGTATCTCATTGTGGTTTTGATATGCATCTCTCTTATGATGAGAGATGTTGAACATTTTTTCATATGTTTTCTGGCTGTTTGTATAATCATCCTTAGAGAGCTGTTTGTTCAGTGCATTTTCCCATCTTTTAATTGGTTGATCATTTTTGGGGGGGAGGGTAAATTGAGTACCCTGTGTATTCTGGTGATCAGTCCCTTATCCGAGGTAGTTTACAAAAATATTCACCCATTCCAAAGGTTGTCAATTCATACTAAATACTGTGTCTTTGCTGTGCAGAAACTTCTTAATCTGATATAATCCCATTTATCTATTTTTGATATTATTGGCTGTGCTTTGGGGGTCTTGTTTAATAAGTATTTGCCCACTACAATGTCTCCCAGAGTTTCTTCAGTGTTTTTCACCAGTAGTTTTATAGTTTGAGGTCTTAGGTTTAGATCTTTGATCACCCACTTTGAGTTGATTTTTGTTAATGGTGAGAGATCGGGTCCAGTTTCGTCTTTCTGCAGGTGGATACCCAGTTTTTCCAGCATCATTTGCTAAAGAGGTTTTCGTTTTCCACTGGGTTGACTGGTACTCTGTCAAAAATTGGTTGGCTGGGGAACCAGAAGTTAGTGTAATGGCTATGTTGCTAGACTCCCATGTAGTCGACCGCGGTTTGCGTCCCGGACCCGGTGGTTTAAAACTCATGCCGGGCGCATGTGCGTGCGTGCCCAAGATCCAGAGAGGAGAATGGAGGAGAAGGGATTGCGGCGTGACCATCCCCCCTGGGGGGTGATTTCTCGCTTTCTGTCTCTATGTCTCTTTCTGTCTATCTGGTGAGCGCACGCGCCCTATAGCAAAAACCTCTCAAAAAAAAAAAAAATTGGTTGGCTGTATGTTTGAGGTTTATTTCTGGGGTTTCTATTCTATTCCATTGGTCCACATGTCTGTTTTTGTCCCAGTACCAGGCTGTTTTAATTATCACAGCTTTGTAATGTATTTTGGGGTCAGGGACTGCAATGTCTCCTACTCTACACTTCTTGAACAAGATTACTTTGGTAATATGGGGTCTTTTATGATTCCAGACAAATTCTATGATTGTATTTTCTAAATCTGTGAAGAATATCTCTAGTAATTTGATTGGGATTACAATATGTAGATTAATTTGGGTAGTATTGCCATTTTGATTATATTAATTCTTCCAATTCAGGAACATAGGGTGTTATTGGGTGTTATTCCACTTTTTTATGTCATTTCCAATTTCTTTTTTTAGGTTTTCATAGTTTTCCTTGTAGAAGCCTTTGATTTCTTTGGTTAAATTTACTCCTAGGTATCTTATAATTTTTGTGACTATGGTAAATGAAATTGCTTTCTTCAGTTCTACCTCAGT